GGGAAGAGCTCTGCACCTCTCCAGCTCCTCTGACATGGTAAGAACTAGTCTGTGTGGAGAGACACAGGCTGGAGCAGGTGGATGCCTGTGGCTACCTGTCCCCTTCACATGACCTGTTCCCCACAGAAGTCACAGCCCCACCTTTAAGTTTTGTCATCAGAACATCTAAGACGCAAGAGCCAGCTCCCTGAGGCCCCTGGAGGCTGCAAACTCTTCATTCATCAGAAACTAGTGATTTTTCCAGAATCCACTGGAACATTTTTGTTGTTTTAAGGTCCCCTCCACTTGTCCCAGACCTGTGGCACCACATGGCCCCTTAGAGTGATGGAAGATGAGTGACCATTGAAAGACGGTGAGCAGCGCCAGGGGACCCACCATGTGACCCAGCTGTGTGACCCTCTAAGAAATGACTACACCCTATGCCCACTTACAGAACATTCCAATAGTGCCCAGAGAGTCCACGCTCTCACTCCCTGGTGAAATCCCCGGCCTCCCTCTCTCAACGAGACCTCCTCCTGCCTCTCCCACGTCCCTACAAAGTTCAGCATCTGATTAAAGGGAATGCAGACCTCAGGGAGGACCTGAAGGAAACCACACCCAACCCGGGCCTCAGACATGGCCCCACAGCGAAGAGCAGAGGATCATGACCACCAGCCTGCAGGGATGAGAATGACCTGGGCAAGATGGGGACAAATGTGTCCTTCTGCACAGATGATGACAAGCTCACAAGGACTTGGACTGAAACAGGAAGGATTTAGGTAAGGTACAAGAAAGAACATTCTGATGGAAGTTGTTAGACTAGCTTACAGAGAGAAAGATCCCTTTTTTGTGAAGGACTCAGATCAGATGGAAAGCCGTCTACCACGAGTGGCTAAGAGGCAGCCCTCAATAGAGAATGGTCTAAATGACTCCGTGCTTTCTTCTAATCCCACTCAGTATCCAGACAAGGAAACTGAGTGAGTCCTCTGTAATCTCCTTAGCCATATTAAAGGACTCCTTTTCCCTTATTTCTCTCACACAAGCAACCCCAGTAGGACAATCATATGGCTCCAGATTTTTTCAAACTAGTACCAGCCCCCAAGCCTAAAACAAACAAACAAACAAAACTAAATTGTTTGAAGAAATCAAACATAGAAAACAGGTATCCTATACATGCATATAAAGTTTACAATTTCTTAAGAGTCTACAAATTCACTATCCCCTTAGGTGAGAGAACGAATCTGGGGATTTACGCAAGTCCCCATTAAAATCCAGTGATGAGGTTAGGTCAGACACTTGCTTCCAGGTCCAGGCATTTTCCAGATACTCTCCTAGAGAGTTTAGAGCTCTGAGTGCCCTGTGAATGCAGCCAGCGTGCTGATGGTATTCTGAGGGGCTCTGGAGCTAACCCAGCTGCCTTGTTGATAGGGTAATCCTTTCCCCTACAAAGTTACTTGATGCTCGGGGAAACACATGCCATCCATTGTGGTGTTAGGGGAAAGGAACATCACAATTTGCCAATGGAAACCAGCAGTGAGCACATAACAGGTCTTCGGAAAAACAAAGTCACCATGACAAGTGAAGCCAAGTGAACATGGTCAGATTTAAGTCAGTCAGAAGTAGTATTCAGGGGTTTTAATTCTTTCTGTTGAGAGTTAGTTCATCCTGGGAATTGAATGGAGACATTTTGTGCCTTAGCTATCAATCGAGACTCTTTGGGAACCCAAGAAACAAGCAGTTTGAAGCAAAAGCTGTAAACTTGTTCATTTGTCTAGATCTCGTGATTCCCTGCTGGAAGTCAAGTCAAAGACATAAACAAGGAAATGTTCACTGCAGTGTTATTTGTAATGGAAAAAAATAAAAGTGGGAGATTGAATAGCAAGAAGGTGGTCAAGTGAATTAGCTATATCAATGCTCTGAAATATTGAGCCATCATTGGAAATAATATTAGGAAGATAAATATCAATATGGCAAAACTTCTATGTTTTCTATGATTCTTGAGAAAATTAAAGCCAAATGCCGGCAGTATCTATATCTACGCTGTGATCACACCAGGTACAATTTTGAACACAAAAATACAAGCCTGGCAAGTTCAGGATACCAAAATGAGCATATTGAAAATAGTTACATCAAAGTCATGGGGTGGCTGATTTTTCTTTTTTTCAAATTGCTGTTTCAACGGGCAAGAAAACACCTTTTACAGAAAAAATAAGTTTAGTAGCACAGGAAAATGTTTACTTAATATCATGAATAAAAATGTGTATTATAAGAAACATATGTGTACATAGAGCTAGATGCAAACAAAATTTTAAAGACTGGATGACCTATGTAAAAAAATTACAAGCAATGTCTTGAAGATGTGGATAATAGATGATATTTTTTTCTCTAAACTTTCTACAAAGACTGTCTCTTTTTAGAATTTTAAATATCAGTGGAAGATAGATGATAGATATGGATGGATGGATGGATGGATGGATGGATAGAAGGATAGATTAAAAAGATGATAGATGGATCTCTTTTCTCCCTTCCTCCCTCTCTCCTTCCCTCCTCCCTCCCTTCCTTCTAAATCCTTTTCACTGGGAGGAAAAAACCAAGAGCATAATTTTCAAAAGCAAAGCAGGCAGTTATAAATGTTACAAGCCTCAGGTCTATTCAGCTGCTCTAGGATGGGATGGGAGAGGGGATTTTCCTGCTGTACCTTGTGCCCATTCCTGACCTGTTTACTATAGGCTACAGTCTAGCAGGTGGGACTGAATAGCCATGGATGCATCACATCCAGCCTGAGCCCTGAGAACTAGACACACACAAAAGCTCTAGGGTGTTAGTGTCTAGAGAGATCGGCAGGGAAATAGGGACCCAGGAGTTTTAGGTCTTTATCACCAAGATGAACACAAATACCTCAGACGTTTATTTATTTACTGCTTCATATTTCTGTTGAGCAAGTACTATGTGTCTGTCCTCCTGGGAAGATGCATATGCATGGATGATTCCACTGCCAAGCAGTAAGGGCTGTTACCAAGGTCTGCTCAAGACCCATGGGAGCTCAGGGACACCAGTGACTGGCCCCTCTGCCAGGCAGGGTTGGGGACAGGTAAGGTGGACTTGGATGGTTTGTGGGATGTCATCAGACAGGTGATGGGAGTGAGGATCTCCCCTGTAGGTAAGAGCACTGGGTTAAACACAGAAGTATGGGAAAGGAAAACATCTCAGAGAACAATAGGCTTTTTGTGCAGTAGGTATCCAATGGTGGGTAGGGGGAAGCTGTGCAAGGCTTCTGGAAAGAGGAAGAAGGTTAATCATAGCGGTACTCACATGAGGCTAAGCAAGGTGTTGTGAGTCCTGAAGCTCATACAGTTGGGAAGCCAGGGGTGGGGAGCTGGCATATGAATATATTACCGGAGCTAATGAGTGAGAAGCACAGAAGCAGGAACTTCATTGCATTCATGTGATCCCACTTCTGTGCTCACCCTGGGTACTGTGCACTATGAGCAAATACTGAAGGATCTTAAGGAAGAATGAAATATCTACACCTATGTTGGAGAAAAAAAGGACAACTGTGCATACCCATCAATACTCATCAGCCAAAGCAAAAGGTGCTCTTGTTGCTGGGGACAGGTGGGTTCTCAGAATGGGCAGCTAAAGCTCCTAAGTACTCTTGGCTTCTGGGCACAACTGTCTCACTCATGGCTGAGCAGAAGTAAAAGAGCAGCCCCATCGCTTGCCTGCTTCCTGCCCTCCCAGAGGCAGGGACGATGGCCCTGCCCCCACAGTATGTCCTCGAATGAAAAATGCCCAGTTGGCAGTGCCGAGGGCCCATGTCCTATGCAGACACTGCACGACGCGTCCTCCAGACAGCTGATGGCCCTGAAGTCTGCCAGCCAGTCACGGCAGTGGGCCTGGATGGCCCTGACTTTGGGTTTCATCTGACTCTGACCCTGTAATTTCCTCTTTGCCATTCTTTCTTTCCCCAGGGCTGTGAGAGGTAGGAATTGGACTGCATGTGGTCCCATGCCATGGTGAAGTGCTAAAAGAGGCATGAAGCCTCTAGACTCTTTGACTGATGTTGCCAACAAATGTATCTGATGAAGTGGGGGAATGCCAGCCTCCACCAGCTGAGTGGGGTGAGCTACACTGCACCACCTCCCACCCCGGGCCTCAGTGTCCCGGCTGCACAGCGGGTGGATGGATGACAGGGCCCCACCTGGGATCGTGGGTGAGGATTAGCCCATAAAACTTGCCGTAAATTTCCCTACATCTATAAAGTGCTATGAAAGTAATGACTATAGATTATGATCAGAATTGAAGGATAAACATATGCCCATTTGGGCCCTCCCAGAACCCACTCCTTGGCCCAGAGAGTCTGGGAAGAGAACAAGTTACAACTGCTTCCCCAAGGAGAGAAGCCAGGCACGGCGACCCGCAAGGGGACTGAGTAATCATCAGCTTTTTCCAGGCATTTTTTGGCTGGGATTTTAATCCTAAACCTCACAAGAGGTTACATCTTTTAATTACCAATTCAGGCACTTCTCTGCATTCTCCACAACATTCCACTGGGTTTTGAAAGCCAGTGATGTCTTGTTATACCACATCAATAAATGCATATTAAAGGGAGAAAGATAGATATTTTTCTAGATTATTTCAAAGGAGGAAAAATTGTGGCAGCCTTAAGGAAGCAATTGGGCAGAACTTACGTCCTATCTTGAGAGCGCCTGATAATCACCTCATTCCATGTTGCAAGTATGAAGTCATCCGGAGAAAATTGTTTTGCAGGTAGATTACAAACTCGTCTTTTCTTTCAATATTCATGATCACAACACTGTTTCTAACATGTCAAATTAGGCTTTATCTCTTTATCATAATTCATAAAATAAAATAAATCAACCCTACAAGATAATTTTTTAAGATAAAAAAATTGATAAAGTATTTTGACTAGTACTATAAAGGGGAACTGGGCATAATATCTACAGCTCCCTGGACAACCTTTTCTGTTTGCAAAACTACATTTCAAATGATAGAATGGCCATGGTACAAAAACATTTATTTAAATTAAATATTTTAGACAGATCAATATCTACAACCATTCCAAAGCATGTGTAGTTCTTACAAAAAAAAAATGGAACAGTTTAGCTTAACGTCTGTGATAATGTTTTACAAGATTATTAATATACATTCTGGACTGCACCAGTCAATCATACTGTCGTGAATGATTCACTATTTATTACCAAATGTCGTATACAGCAATAGCATTAAGATTAATTATATCTTATAAGTAATTTAATAGTAGGACGTCTTGGAAGAAAAAAAAGGATCTCTCAACAATATAAAATACAAGCTAAAAATAGGATAATATATAAAACACTTACATATTTCATACAGGCAATAATAGGCTGGAATTAAAAGACAACTGTCTTTTCCCTCATTGCTAGGTATGTTCCTTCAAAGGAGGTTTGAGAGAAGGATGGAAATGTTTTTTGGGGTGGGGTCAGGGCTCAGAAACATTTTCTGAATCACAGTGCAGTTCTGTTCTTTGGGAAGTCAGTATAGCAAAGGGGAAGTTGTTTTGAAGTGTTAGCCGACGATGTTCCCAAGAACCAGCTGTCTGGTGAGGAGACTGAATTCCCATCTCAGCCATAGGAATGATGTTTAGGATTTTTAAGTCAGGGGATCTTTGAATTCCTGGGCAACTCAAGGGTGGAGGAAGAACAGTGAAAAAGAGAAAAAGAAATCCCAGGAAAGGACGAAGGGGAGTCAGCTACAGTGAGAAGGAAGCTCCTTTTGCACCTGCAGAGGGTAGCGTGTGTTAAAATTTTGCTTAAGAAATGAACACATTCAGATTGGAGGTAAGTGATGTTTTTGTGTAGAGATTCTTTTTAGGTTCCCTGCTCTTTGGGTCATTCGGAACAGGGAGTTAACAAGAAATTGCCAACATCAACAAGAGTATCTGATCTAGGCTGCACAGACATGCATTTAAGGGTGTGCATGAAGGTGTGTGTGTTGTGCATGGCCCACAAACACTGTATATGTTCAGGCTGCAAATAATCTCTTGTAATGTGTGATTTAAAAAAATAATTCATCTTAAAAAAAAGGTTTAAAAACCAGTGGTTTGCGTTCAATCTCGTTTTCAGTAGCACAGTCAATTCTAGTGGTTAATTTCCCAAATCAAGAGGAGTACTGTCCTTTTGAAAGACCACGATCATTTTGGAAGGTAGTGCGAGTGCAGAAAGCTGTGTGTTCTTGGGCTGCACACACGGATTACCACCAGGCTGGACATTAATGAATTTACTAAGACAAACTTCGTTTTCCTTTTAATTAGCCTTGAAAGAACCCTAGATCAGAAAACCCTGGAGCAGAAGGTGCCTTAGATGTCAAGTCTGTCCCCAACTTTACAGACTGGGGGAGGGGCTGCAAGGGGAAAAGAACCGAGTGGGGATCCCACCAGGGTCTGGGTCAGAAGCTAGAGAGATGTGAACACCGCTGAGATTTTCACACATTGGTTTCCGCGATGGGGACCCAGAGAAGTAAGTGAAAATCTACCATCTTTCTTTTGGCAACTACCTTGCCTTATTCCCAGGGTGTAGCCAATGAAAACCCATCTGAAGGAATATACTCAAAATGTAGGTGGCAGGGAGCAAAGGGGCACTCAGACCGGCAGATCCCGGTTCTGCCCCGCTGACAGTTCAAACATGCACACCCTGGGCCGTCGGAGGACGTCGGTAACACTGCGCGGTTACCTCTGCTCAGCGCTCAGGAAGGAGAGGCTGCGCGAGGCAGGGCCGGGCTGGCTGCCTCGGCCTCTTTGATAAGCTGTACTCTATGATACGCTGTAGCTGTTGTAATACGTGGCCGTGGCATCAGCCAGCACGGAGATAAGGCTGGTCTCTGTGGGGCCAGTTGATGTCACCTGGGAGACGGGGACATGCCCACTGAGGGCCACAGCCCCTGCGGCAGAGTCTGGGTGGCCAGGAGTGTTCAAATACTGGTCGAACTCATTCCGATCCATGTCCCCCAGGAGTTCCACCTGGCTCAGCTGATCCAGGGCATCAAAGCCGGGGTGTTCCGGAGGCGGGGAGAGCTGGCCCAGGTGGGCGTGGATGTTGGAGTGGAGTGGGTGGTAGGTGGCAGGGGAATAATAGGCAGGAGACGGGGGACAGGCAGGTACAGTGGACATCATAGAGACGCCCGGGGACTGGCCGAGGGCTAGGGAGCCCAGGGGGTGGCCGCAGTGGAGGGGGCTGGGGGCGAACTCCGGTGAGTAAGTGGGCCCAGGCAGGTGGGGGATGTGGTGGGAGTGCGCATGCTCCTCCTGGCAAGGGGAGGAGAAGAAAGTCTGCTCCGACTCCAGTACGTCCAGGGGCGACATTTCCGGGGGCGTGGGTAGCCCGTATGGGTAAGTGTCCATGCTGCCCGGGGTGCCGCCTCCGCCGGTTGGCCCCTCGTGATAGCAGCCCCGCAGGCTGGGCAGGGCGGAGCCGGGGGAGTACTCACCCCTGTCCTCCTTCTCCCCCAGCGCCCCGCGGCCGCCGCTCCGCTTCTCAGGCAGAGCGTTCTGGTCTCGGGAGAGGGAGCTCAGGAGGAAGCCCGGGTCCACGCGCTTGCAGAGGCGCTTGGCCTGCTTCTTCCTGCGAGGGCGGTACTTGTAGTTGGGGTAGTCCTGCATGTGCTGCAGGCGCAGCCGCTCCGCCTCGTCCACGTAGGGCCTCTTCTGGGACAGCGTCAGCGCCTTCCACGACTTTCCTGCTCACACAAGTCAGAGAAGGCCCCTTTCAGCATCTGCGCGGCTTGGAGAGGCCGGTTCACCTGTGTCAGACGCTCCTGCCTCCCTGCGTCCACACTCTCACTCGCCGTCAGCCTCCATCCCCATCCCACATCCCCATCCCACCCGCCCCCACCCCACAAAGGACACTGCACCCCTCGAATCCCGCTCCCATCCCAGATCCTGGCACTGTGGGGCCAAACCAATCTCTCCCGCTTGCAGCCCGCAAAACCACTAAGGCCAACTATGCACAGGGTCGCTTCACCTCTCCTATAAAAGCCTAAAGCCGCGAATCACGCAAACGTATAAACAATGCGGGATTCATAGTGAAAAGCCCACCAGACCCAATGTCAGATACTCGATAAAAATATATAACGACGACTTTGATCTGGGCTCTTTTTTACCCTAAGTGTGCCAAGTTTACTCATTTGCTCATTTTAATGAAAACTCTCTGCCTTTGCTGATTATCGCTGCCTCTCAGGAAGTGATGCTATATTTATTTATGGCATAATTCCCACAGGCCGTCTTGTGAGGGAACTCTGGGCTCAGTCCATCGTTTTACAGATGTAAGTAAATTACAGGATCTCACTTAGGGGAACAGACAGTTATCCCTCACATCTGAAGGTCAGTTAGGACCCTGCCATATGAAGCCCATTGCCAGCATGCTAGCATCTGTCTGCAACATACACACACATGCGTGCACATGCACACAGGTGCACAAGCATGAACACATGCACTCATGATAAGGCTTCCTGCTCTCTACTTAATTAGTAGCCTGTGACTGTGGCAGGGGCCAATTGCTCAGTCACTGACTCCTCTCATAGAAGCAAGTTCTTTGACTTCCCTGGGTCTTTATTTTCCTCACTATAAAATGTATTGTTATATTGTCCAATTCAAGACTCTCTTTAAGAAGCATCTCACGCTTGTAACCAATTGGTGCTAAAGTGCTGGTTTCACTTGGACTTTCTATTCATCCTTACTCCCTTCTGTATAGTTTTATAAATTGCTTTAGCATCTCTCTCTCTCTCTCTCTCATCTGTCAGTACATTCATTGCACATCCCTCTGGCTGCTGCTTTTCTGAAGGTCATTTCTGGACACTTACCTCCCAGGCAGACCTGGGGTTCTGCAACTTTGGAAGTCCCCTCCCACAACCCGACTCTAATGTATCCTGAAGTTTGAGACCTACTAGCTTGGAGTTAAGTACCCCCATCCCCACTCCCTGTAAGGAAAGAAGCCACATGTCCCACCCAGAACCCTCGGCATAGGGTCCCCTACAGAGCTCTGTGTCCTGTCACCTCAGTACCCACACTGGCCCACTCTGCATGCCTGGCCCTCACAGAGCACTGGAGGAGGGCAATTATTAAAGACACTCTACCATTGGGATGAAAGTTTATAACCATTGTGACAGACCCATCAATTAATATAATTAGGTGTCACTTAAAAGGGCAACTCCAAGTGTCAGGAACTCTGGGTTTAGGGCTGGTCAGCAGTTCCCAGCCTGTGGCTGAGACTGCAATGTTGTTGCAAGAGGCCCAAAATAGAGGCACACCCCACACCTTGTCTGTGGACTGAATTTAAAATGTGACTCTAGTTTCTAAGTTTCTAAGACATAGATATCATAATATTAATAAAATATTCATTTTAAATTTCATTAAATATATTAACTGTTTTTATGTGCCTTTTTATTCATAGTATCCTAAAAAATAGTAGTGCTACTAGGTGAAATTGTGATGTTAAAGATTGGAAAGCTTAGAGGCAAAAAAGTTGGGGACCCTTTTCTAGGTTGGAAAGGAAATGCCTGGGCAAGATCATGGGTGGAAGTGGATCATCATGCTGCCCCCTAGTAACAGGTGTAGGAAGTCCATATTTTTAAAAGCCCCTTGCCCCTTGTACAGTTAGGCAGGAAGGAATCAGTGTCTTTCCTGCAAAATGAATTATAACCTCTGGAAGCTTAAGTGAGACTTGTCAACAGGGATCAGCTCACAAGAGGCATTTGTCAGGTTGGTCCTTTCGCCTTCCCATTCCCTGGGCTGTAGGCAACCTCAGTCCCGAAAGGCTCCCCAGCCTGAGCTCCTCTCCCACCTCTGGCCTGGGCCTGCAACGGAAAACTCACTCTGTCCTGGTCACAGGAGCTGTGCTTGATCAAAAGGCACAGTGCCTGGGCCCATGAAAACAAAATGTTGAAGGACCCACAAAAAAAAAGTATTTTCATTTCTTTAAAAACCTGAAGAAAAAAAATCAACTTTTAGGTAAATGCTTTACTGTTGTATATATTAATATATTTGTCTTTATGCCCATACAGTATGAATATAATTTTTAATATTTTTATGAACAAAGGGGCTCACTAAGACACTGATCCACCATTGTGTCCCGTGCTTATCTAGCCAGGGGACTGGGCTATGCATGGGTAGGAGACTTTTGGAAACCAGCAACTTTGAAAGGGCATCTACACTGCAGGAAGGACCCCTTTTGGGGGCCTGTAGGTTTAGCCAGAAGAAAGGTGGGTGACAGCCCTCACTCCAGGGTTTGGAGCTCTGGAGGGAAAAGAAAAAAAAGCTCAGTTCTGGGGGAGGGGTGTGGTTGGGGAGGGTCAGTCCAGCCTCAGGTGACCACATACTTCCCCTTGTCCCACTGTGCCTACAAAGTGCTTTGAAATGTTTCCACAAGTTAAAATGAATAAAACCTCCGTGGAAGGGCAAAAAGGAGTAGAGCAGTTGAAAGTACTCAGCTCCAGACCTGGGAAAGAAGAAACCCCCACAAAAACCCTACTGGAACTCTAAATTTTCAGACCTGCCCTAACTTCTTTCTCTGGGCTCCTCTGGTCGGTCTTGTCCTTGTCCCCAGGCCCACTGCCCCTGTTGAGCAGCCCTCAGAAAGTGGCAGGCTTCAGGACAGACCTCACTGGCTGCCCTGAGCGTCCCAATCACAGTATCTATCCGCTGCGATTGAGAAATACATTATCGAATCGAGTCTATGTGCGCATTTTTTGCTGTAGGTTTAATAATTAAGTTAAAGAAAGGATGCGTTTCTGCAAGGTTTCTCTTGACGAATATTAGTTAATAATAGTTAACAACCTCCTTCTGTGATTGTGCCAGTGGTAAATTCAGAGAATAGTGGGTTTCCCGCTTGGATATTCCTAGCAAACACCGGTTCCACCCAGCCTCCGGGTTTCCGTCCTGACCTGTGTGCGCGTAGGTCCCGGTCGCAGGGCGACCGGGGCCTGGCAGCTGATGGCCACGCCTGTCTCTTGGGTTCCCGCGAGTGGGCTTCCTGGCCCACCCCAGCAGGCCGCGCGGTTTCACTTTGGGCGTCGTCGAGGTATTTCGGCTCTGAATCCAGGTTACTGTGCGCTCACTCACGCTCACACAGATGCCCAACCTCGCGGGCACATCGAGCGCGAGCACTCCCCGAGCATACCCACACGCCGGGTCCTACCCAGGCACCCCGCGCTCTCAGGACCGCAACACCGCCCCTAGAAGCGAGCCCCGGGGACCCGCCTCCGCCCGCGCCCCCGGCCCGCCGACCTGCCGGGAAGCCCCGCCCGCCCGCCGGCTTACTCACCCAGCATCTTGCTGAGCTCGGCGTTGTGCAGGTCCGGGTTCTGCACCGCCAGACGTTTCCTCTCGTCCTTGGCCCACACCATGAAGGCGTTCATGGGCCGCCGGATACGGCTCTCTGCGCCCTTGTCGCCCGGCGGGCGGGGGGCGGCCGGCGGCGACAGCCCATCCGACAGCTCGGTTTCCAGGGTTGGGCACTCGAGCCCCTCGGGCCACGGATAAGCTCCCAACAGCGAGGCCATGGCCGCACGGGGGTCCCCTCGCTTCGGCTCGCAGGGCAGGCGCTGACCTGGCCCTCGCACGGGTCGGGCGTCCAACTTGGTTGGCAGCCGCGGCCCGTCCCTTTATTTATCAGCTTCGTGCGGCCGCGTCCTCCAATGATTCTCGAAGGCGGCGCGGCCCCTCCCTCCGTCTAGGCTCGGGCCCACTCCCTGAGTCCTGGGCCACCGCGTCCCCGCTCCGACCTGCCAGGATGGGGATAAGGGAGGGAGGGCCACTTCCCCGCGCCCGCCCCGGCCCGCCCCTCTGCCTTCCGAGTCCCTCCCGGGAATCCGCCCCGGGCCGCCTCCCGTCCTGCCCGCTCTGCGTGCAGGTGTCGCAGAGCCAGGAGGCTGGCGCCGCCCGCAGTCCCGTCGCCCCGGAGCGGGAGTCAGACTGCAGTGCCCTGTCCCGACTGGCCGTGGCCTCTCCCAGCCACACTCCACCAGCTCCTCCCGCGTCTGGAATCCCATGGAGAACTGAAGCCAAAGAGGTTTCGCTAGGCCAGGCCGGGCGGGAGAGGAATTACCATGAATCCCCCCCAGAGCAGCCTGTGCGAACCGTTCTGAAGAGAACATTCTTGCCCTTCTTGTAAAATGAACAGGGTTCCAGCATCCTCGCTCCCAGCCAGCTTTGGCGGCCAGAGACTTGCCAGGTGGAGGGATGCACTCTGCGTGGGGCCCTATGCAGTGCTCACAAAGCCCCTGCAACTCCCAGGCTGTCTTGAGGGCTGGACTGCATTCTCAGTTCTCCTTCATTCACTCTGCCATCTGATTTCTCTCCTCTAACACCCTTATCTCCACACCACACTAGTCTCAGAGGTCCTCGGGGTCTTCAGCTCCCTCATCTTCTCTCTGTATTTTCCTTCTGGTTGTATTTTATCTTGTCTCCGTCTGGCTCCTGCTTCTAGGCATGGAGTTGCTCTGGCCCTCCCTTCCCCCCTTGCTCAATGGCTTTCCAGTGGCTTTCCGACTTCCCAGGTTAGATGGCGGCAGGTTCTGGACTTGTGCTCAACTGGGAGGGCTGAGGGCTGGGAGCTCAGGGTAGTGTCTCCAAGATGCCAGCCCTCTGCCCCCAGGGCAACTCATAGGAGCCGGGCTGTCCTCCTGGCTCTCAGGCAGCACCGGCACACAGTAGGCGCTCAGGAACTGCCAAAAAAGTGAAAGAATAAGGGAGTGAGTAAATAAGGCTTAGACACACCCTACTGTATAAAACACGACAATCATGAGGCTTGATTAGATCCTGGAATTCAATCTACAAATATTTACTGAGCACCATCCCTGTTTAGGGCTTAGTAGAGGTGACCCTGAAAGGAGGTAGCATTGTCCTGGGGGGACCCTGGGATCTGGAGCCAGGACCTGTCTTCAGTGTTTGATTACTTAATGCATGACTCTGGGCAAGTCATGTATCTCTCTAGGCCTTTTTTCCTAAACCTAAAAGGAGGACAATGATAAGACTTGATCTCATGAGGCTGTTGTGAAGATTCGGTGAGATAATACACATGAAAGCTTAAACTCTATATGATGCTTGCTGTTAATACAACTCTGGATGTAAAGCCCTGTAAATTTTAAGACCAAATTTCAATGCCCTAGGGTGCACGCATTTCATAAGTGCCTCGTGTGCAACATGCACTCCCAGACAGGCCCCACGGACCCCAAGGCAAGTGGGTGGAGAAATGCAACTTCTGTTTTTAAATCCCAATTTTAATCTATAGAACCCGGGATAATTTTCATCTCAGAATGGGCTTTACTCATAAAATAATAGATTGCTTAGTTTTCTTCTCCTTTTCCAGAAGAATCCAGCAGCAGCACCCTAGACCCATGTGCTCCACACACTACCCTCACAGGCCAGAACTGAGCAGCAAAGGGAGCAGGTGCTGGCAAGAAAGGGGGTGTCTTGAAACCAGGAGAGCATCCTGGAACCCAAGGTGGAGCAGAGGGCCTCGCTGGCGCCAGGGACCAAGTGGACAGTGGGGAGAAAGGGGGTGCGTGCAGAGAGAATGTGTCCACAGTCTAGGCAGACATCCCTACCCCTGGAAGCCTAGGTCACTTCCTGTGTTAGACCCCTCTACCAGAAATTCCTCAAGAAAAATCCCCAGGCCAGGATAATCTAGGAAGCCCGGGGCGCCAGATTCACGCCAGGCCACGGGAGGGCACCTCATTGGGGTAAGGAGGGAAGGAGAAGGGACCACGACCGAGGGTTCGGGAGGGGGAACTGCGCTGCAAACGTGGATCCCTGAAACAACTCGGCTGCGACTCTTTCTAAGCCCACCGCCTCTGCAGGGCACAGACAGTGCTCCGAGGGCCCAGAGGCCTCTAGAGGATAGAGGCCCCTTGCCAGCCGCGGACGTTCCCACTCCAGCCCCCAGCCTCTGGCGCGCTGCCGGCGCGTTTCGGGAGCAGAGAGAGCACGCAGTGGGGCCGCGCCCAGGCACCAGGTTAGAAAAAGGCTCGGGATCCGGGTAGCGCGGAGCGGTCAAGGTGGGCTCCAAATGTCTTTCGCAAAGCTGGAGAAAAGAGCGGGGGCGGGCACAGAGAAAATACAAGCTGTGATTGTTTCCAATTGTTTAATTTCTTGCATTTCATCTGGAGAAAGTGCACGAGACTGAGTCGTCCAGGACCTGGACGTTAAGGGCCACATGGCTCGCATAAGCGCCGCTCTCAGCGTATGAGCGCTCTGCTCACGGGAACCTGGGCTCTTTTGCTCGCTCCTTTCCTTCATTTTCATTAGTTAATTTGCACCCGCGCATTGATTTACCAGGGCAACTTTATGCGAACGTGCCCTGCTGAGAGCGGTGCTAAGAGATGCGTGTCCTTCTGCCTCTCTGGTCACTGCGACCTTCAGTCTCCGGAACTCCAAATGGACCTCAAGCGTCCCCAAAGCCCGGTGCTCCCGAGCCTTGAGCGGGAGGGCCAAGGCCGGCGATCCCCCATCCCCCATCTCCCTCACCGAGCAACAGCCCCTACACTTGCTTGGGCCTGCGCTGGGCCCAGGACGGCAGCCAGTTGTCCGTAGGGGTTCCGCACGGTGAATTCGCAAGCAATCAAACCAAGAAGTCTCCAGTAGGGGCAATGGAGTGGGGTCCGCAGCGGGATGGGATGGGGGTTCCGTCAAACACCGAAGAGCAGTCTGAGCAGCGGTCTGCGTGTGAGGCCTCAGGGACACAGTGGGCACCGCGCGAGTACAACACAGGAGACCTGTCCGCACAGGGACCTGAGCAAGCCTTTACTTCCCCGTGTGTATTGCGAGAACTGCACTCTCTGCTCCCTCAAATGACTTTTGCTTCCTTTCCTTTCTTTTCTTTTTCCTTTCCTCCTTCCCTATTTCCCTCCTTCCCCCTTCTTTCTCCCCTCCCACTCTCCCCCTCTTTCTCTGCTCCCTCCCATGTCTTTCTTCAGCTCAGCTCTGTAGTTGAACATGGGTTTCCAGGAATACAGGACTTGAAGTCTGAAAGCCCCAGTGTAAATTGCTACAATTTACTAGCAGTGTCATTTACTTGATCTCAGCCCCGGTTTCTTCATCTGTAAAATGGGGACAAAATCAGGATGACTGATACATTAGTTGTCAAATCATCTCCTATGCTATAAAGAATTGTGAATTGTTACAATGAATGGATGACATTTTACATAAAATTAATAGGGTCAGGCCTTCAGAACCTTCCCCCTCGAGGAGTTTTCCTTATTCTGTTCCAAACCTAAGAATTTTGATGACTCTGGGAGAAGGGGAAGGAGGGGAGTCTGGTGCACATTCCCTGCTCTGAGTGGCAGCTCCTGCACAGGAGCTCAGCATCTGGACCATGCATAGCACTGGGCTGGGGGAGCCACAGCTGCCAGCCCTCATGTCTACAATGGTTTGTGCATGTGTTTGCTGGTGAATTTCATCCCTCGGTTGAAATCATCACCACCATAATCTTTCCTCACACTAATTTATGTACTTGACTGGCAGTCTTTGTAAAAGGTCATTTGCTGACCCATCTGGGCCTCTACACAAACCCTCTTGGAAGCAGACAGCCCCAGTGGTGTCATTAAGCCCTTTCCCTGATGACACAGGTGAGGCTGCAGCTTGCAAGGGGCAGAGCAGAGACATGAACACACATCCCTTGCCTTCGTGCTTTTGCTCCCTGGTTGCAGGGCTCTCCAGGGTCAGCTCCCAGCTTCCCACCCTCAGCAGAGCTCCAGGCTTCTGGGGGAGAGAAGAGAAGGGCTTCTAACCAGCTGCTGTGTCTCCCTTGTCCTTGTGCCCTCTCCAGTCTGGTCCCTCCAAGTTCCACTGGTGCTTTCCTCATCCAAATGGTGTTTGAAGTTCAAGGAAATGTGAAAAGCAAACGAGCAAACCCTGTTGGCCATGGGTGAGGTGCATGCTGGAGAGCCAGGAAACCTGCCCAGGCCTGCCAGCTGCCTGTCCCCCCACTCCTCACAGCTGACCCAGCAAAAAGAGACCCTGACTTCCCTCTAAGCAGTTGTACTCAGGGTTGCTCTTTTCTAACCTAGAGCAATCTCTTCATAGTCATTCAGGAGGAATTCATCAAGGTCCCTAATTTAGAATCATTTGGGTAGGTGGGATTAAACAACACTGTGTGGACCTAAGATGTACCTGTAGGCTTGCCTGAGTGGCCTGGAAGTAGGCAGAGCACAAGGAAACTGGGACAGATCTTCACTGCCTCTGAGGTTTAACTGCTTTTCTACAGGCACTAGGGGAAGTGGAATAGGGTTTCCAAACTACATTGTTCCTGAATATGGGGAGGGTAGACCTCTTGCCAATATCAAAATCCCTTTGTAAGAAGGACTTAATACTAAAAAAGGACTGGGATGCAGAAGCCCAAGATTTCCCGAGATGGCCCACATCAGACTTGTCAAACACATCAGAATCCCCCCCCCCCAGAAGTGCTCATTGCCGATTAATCCTGTCTCCCAGCAAATGGTGGGAGGACCCTTGACTTGAAGCCAGAAGACGTAAGTCCAGTCCCATTGGCTACTGCTGCTAACGCGTTTGAGCCAGTCACCTAACCAGTGCACATGGTGGAGAGTAACATGAAGCCAGTGAGGTGAAGGGCTTGCCTGTGTTGTACGCATTCTCCAGGGCAAGGCAGAGGGAAGCCAGTGCACATTCTGGGTTTTGTGTTTGCTTCTCTCTAGCACTGAGGGCTGGAAGAGCTCCAAGCCAAGAACAC